ATAAAATCAACCCAAGAAACTTTCCCTTACTTTAAACAATTTGTAATGAAGAACAGACCTAGTTGCCTTAATTTTGTTGATAAGGTGACCCATTTGCTATTTAAATTATAACATGAAAAAACTTTTTAAAACTTATGTAAAGCTTCATAAAGTATTCCAACATTTTAAATCCTTTCTGCTCTACAAGCCATATCTGAGGGTGATCTGTTTTTGCAAAGAAAGCTGAATGAATCAGAGGGCTCTGCACAAGGACAGAAGAGGATCTGTGTGGTTGTCAGCGTGCACTGAGGCCATCAGGCTAAACTGTGGCTTTGCTACGAGCAAGACACTGCTCTGAGAAACAGATGAGGAAACAGATTGCAACTCACAGACTGACAATCTGCTTGCCACGTTTCTTATACTTTTGAGGAGAAATAACTTGGGCCAGGCCTATACATGGTGTAGCTGCGCTAAGTAAGGCTAAGCAAAGAATGGAGCCATTCCCTGCCACAGTCTGCCAAGTGTAGAGGAGGAAAAACCAGCTCCAGGCTGGCTGCTCCGCCCTCCCACGCTGTGTAATGGCAGCAGCCAACAAAGAGCAAAGAAGGGCCAATTCAACCTCCCCTACTATGTGTGCCAGTGCACATTAATTAATATTCAATCCCACAGTCCTGTTAAAAATCCAAAGCTCTTTTAACATGTACAATTTATAAAGACTAAAAATTAGCATATAATCAAGAACTATCCATTCTTCAGCTTGTAACGTATTAGTAGGGCAAACAGGCATGTACATGACTGCACATGGCAAAATAAGATAAGGTCTCTGAGATACACTAAAACCTTCAAAGGTACTTTTACCAATAACACTTTGAAAGAAGTGAAGCCTGTCTCGGTCCAACAAGGAAAAACTGGTTGGTCAATAAAAACATGTTATGTATACACAGGTAATCAAATTAAGTAAATAAAAAATACCACGTTTTGTTAGAAACACTGTACTCTTGTTATGTGTTAAATCCTTCAATGTACATTTAAAGATTTGGCATACAAGAATTGAATGACACATTCTGTTAGAGGGACTGTGGGATTTTACTGTCAAATCTTTGTGTTTACACTGAAATAATACAAAAGCCAGTGAAATTGTGGAAAAATATGTGAAAATTCTCTTTGCAAAAAACTTTTTTTTTTTTTTTTTTTTAATATGAAGCATAGTTAATATACTAACATATACAGTTCCAGACACTGGAATCCCAGAAGAAACAGGAAAAATAAACTTACATTTCCATCTTCTAAACTCTGTTTTATGAGGCATCTCAAAATATCCTTGTTTCACAGCAAAAGATCCCAGCCCTGCACTAATATGTTTGGGGTTGGAGACTGTAGGCAACACAGACGTAACAGAGCTTTAGACGTCGTTGTGTATCACACCTGGAATTTAGATGTAACTCCACAGCTCTTTGTTGAAGTCCATCAGTCCAACCAGATGCCTCAGAAACTCATGGGCATCTAAAATACAATTAGGGACCCAGGTTTAAGCAACTAAATTACACTATGCCAGGTGTTTACTTAGGTTTCTTGCTCTAGGAGGTTGCAATGCCTTATGCTGACTTTCACACCTGAGGAATTCACCTTCAGTATATTCACCCACAATCTTTATACTACAGAACAAAGTATGGAGGTAGGGAACACAGACTGACCCAGAGCCCTTCAATGCTTCTTCTGAACTGAAACAAGTTATAGAGTTCACACAGTCAAACATCACTGACTTGTTGTCATTGTTTTAGGTAAATCAATTTGGGCATGAGGTATTATATTGTGACTATTACAGATATCTGTGTGCCTATGATGTCTTAATTAAGCATACATCATTTTTATGCTCTTAGCACATACTCTAAGCATGTGTTTAAATCCTCACAGGAATTCATTCATACATTTATACATGTGCTTAAATAGCCTTCTGGAACAAAACTGTTTTCCTGAACTGCTGTAATAATTTAATATAATGACTTAGGAGTTAGAAATCAGCCCTTAAAAATTAGATAATTTAGTCTGCAATTATCATCAATTAATAGGTCCAACTACAGAACCATACAAAGGTTTGCCCTATTTTCCCCCCAAAGACCATAAAACACTCTAAGTCAGAAAAAAAAGTTGTTATAAAAATGTAAATAGGACATCAGAGCTCAGGTATTTTTTTCCTTGGTTCAGATAACAATCAATGTGCATTTGCCAATTCATGAATATTACACTTCATTCACAAGGCACATAATTACTGCAAAGACAATTTCCACCAAAAAAGGCATCTTGCCATGGAGAGTTCAGCCATAGAAACTGAGTTGTCTCCAGGACTTTGAAGAAATCCAAGGGGGAAAAGTACTACTACTACTTAAACCAATGTATCAGGCACAGTGTAAGTCCATTTGTATCCTGAAAGAGTTGGACTTTCACAATCTAATGCTAGAAACAGCACTGCTAAAAGGAGAAAGAAAAAGCAACATGGACCTTTCTACCACGATGGGATACATAAAGTTCTGGGGAACCATTTTAGAAACTGAGAAATAATTACAACCAGCAGGAGATACTGTCAAACACAATGACACCTAAATATTACATAAAATGAAGAAAAATATGTTCCTGTATTTTTTCTATTGCTTTCTTTTTATTATAACTTTAAAAATCAGTTTTTATTCTAATAAAGTGCATCCAAAAATACCAGTTTAGCTCTACTAGGAAGCTTCTCTGATAGAAGACTGAAGAATCTTCTTCTTCAGAACCCCTCCAACCTCAAATGCAAACTTTTATACTCCACATTTATGGCTCTTCTACAACTTTGCTATTTTCAGCAAGTGTTGATTTCCTAAACAGGATCAAGACATCAGTATTCAGGACCTCACTTTGTTTCCATGTGTTCTGTACCAAGATAGATCCAATCCTAATCTTGCATGTCATTCTAGACTTAATTCATCATTAATGGCATCAGTTAGACCATGGAACATCTCCCAAATGAAGGTATGTTAAAATACCTGGCACATATAATTTTTTTCTTGAAAACAAATTTTATAATGCATAGTAATTTCTACTTTGAGCACTCCTGGTGAATCCTCTCAAAGGCATTATGTTGAATAGTGTGCTAGATTGTGAACATTTGTGCATCAATCCATTACTGAATTCTGAATTCTCTCTAAATTAGAAATACTTTAGCATACAGCTGTATGCAGCATAGCGAAAAGCTCACCTTTAATTTTCGAAGTTACATTAACAGAAGACATAGACATTCTTTACAACATTTGTAAGAAATATCATAAATATAACGGTACATGTTTTATTTTGCTTTACTTCTCTTTAAGCCAAGCGCACTTCTGGGGAAAAAAAAAGCCAGTTGACTTTACAACCTAAAATACTTAAATTCTGAGTAACAAACAATGACTGTTGTGACCCATCTGTATATACAAAACACATGTGTTCCATACACACAACATAAACCACTGCTGTTTATAATAAAGAAAGGAAAGCACAAGCAAATATGCTCCCTCTGGATATACAGAACTTACGATACACAACATGAAAGTAACAGTGCAGGAATATAGCACGAGCACTAGCCTTGAAGAAAGTCACTACACAAATCACGCAGTAGAACTAGATTATAAATGACTAGTCATTGTACTGAAGTGAACTTACTTCTGTACTTAGAAAAATGGCTATCACATTTTAAGAAGACTCATATTTTCAATTGAACCAACTATCTGGCATACTCCTTGCTAAGCAGCCTATTTGAGTACAGTACAAAAAGCAGTCACATGGTGTGTTTTGATTTTGGTCAATGGATTAGTAATTCAACAATGGTGCAATACCTAATTGAACTGGGACGCCACAGAACTTTGGTAAACTTGAATATCTGAACTGTTGTTGTTTACAGCGCTAAACCCAGCTTTAAAATAGAAAGACTTTATAACAGCGTTTAAACAGGTATAATTTAGACGGTTAACACTAAAGTTTCCCTGACAGGGAACACAGAGATAATATAAAAACATTGACAGAAAGGCACTGGCGATAGAATCATAAATACATTTTCATTTAAATCCATTTCCATTGCACTAGGCCTTTCTTTCTTTACCGAATAAAAAAACAAACCAACCCCCCAATTTATTCAAATTCTAGGTCAACAGTGTTTTGGTTCATTTTGTCTTCTTTCGCTATGCCTAATGTAGTGTTGAACATTAGCACTGGGCTGTATGCTGCAGACCCTCTCTGGTTTGAATACCAGATGTCATAGATGATTGTGACAATGCTCTGACTTAAGAGCATGATGAAACTTAACATCAAAGCTATGCTGTAGATTGCATGAGATAATAATGACTAAAGTTAAGCCCTTTCACCCAATATGGCCAGTAACCCACTTTCACTCCACTAAACCCAGGTACCTTGAAAGTAATGCTGCTCTTACCTAACCTGCTCCCTAAGTTTTATACCTCCTCGGCCTTGACGACCTATCTCCCACAAAAAAAAAATAAAATATTCCCTTTCTTTGTTTTGTAGGCTCATTACCATGGCATGCCTAATTTCTTCTGCAAGTGAGGGCTGCAACTACGGGTGAGGGTATGGGGTGAAGCTACGTCTTTTTACACAGAATTCCACAATGCAATGCCTTGTCTATGATAAACACTTCCATCTGTGATTACAAGGAGCAATTTGAAGATGGAAATATCAAAGGGAGGGTAATCAATACATTGTACATATTAGCACAGCAGTCGAAATGTAAGTTCTGCACCACAGCTAGTAACAGAATGAACACACAGACCTTACAGACGCATTGAAGGCAGGAAATTCAGTACCACTATATTAAGAAAATGACTGCCTGTGACTTTAAACACTGGCACGCTTGTACTTGGCGAGAGAGTGAACGATTTATTGTTACTATGAAGGATGCCGGAATGGAAATGAAGATGAGAGGGGCAATGATGATGATGATGATACAGAAGAAGAGGTTAATAACCCCAGCAGCTGATGGGAAACGATGTCCCTACCTCAATAAGCTGGATAAGGGGATAGCTCCAGATCCACTGCCCAGGATCCCTCCTTTCCTCCCAGAGAGGAGTTTCTCCACCAGAGCCACATTCCCAGTGCGAGCAGCTTCCAGCAGTTCCTGATCCTTCCCCATGGTCGGAAACCAAGCAGCCCCCCGCGAGAGAGCTGCACCCCGGGCCACAGCGGCTCCCTCCCTCCACAGAACGACCTCCCCTCCCCAGACCCTGCCTCAGAGCAGAGCACAGCAGAGATTCCTGCAGTCCCTTCCAGACCAGCAGGAGCAGCAGCAGGAGGGAGGAGGAGAATCACCTCCTCCTAGTTTCACTGGATCATTTCTGGGTGGAGTGTGGAAGGTGAAGGGGGGCGGCGGGAGGGAGGGAGGGAGGACGAGGCCAATAAAGAACCTCCCCCACACTGCCATGCACACACAGCCCCGGCCCGGAGGATGGGGCGGGGAAAGCGGGCAGTGTCAGCCGCCGTGCCCTGCCGGGCTGACGAGGATAACGACCCTCACGGACGGACGGGCGGGCAGGCGGGTGCACGGAAACGGGGAAGGGCGGCCGGAGGGAGGGAAAGAGGGAGAAGCCGCAGCCCTGCCTTGTCAGGCTCGTTGCTGGGGAGACGCGCCTGGCGCGCTCCCAGTGGCTGCCCGGGCGCGGCGCCCCCTCCGCCCGCCCCGGCGGTCCCGGCGATCCGCGGAGCCCGCTCCTCCGCCCTGCTGGCCCCGCCCGGCCCGCGCCCCACTGCGGAGCCGGGAGCGCCGCCCGCCCCGCCAGGTGCACGGGCCGCGCCCCCCGCGGCGGCAGCGAGCGCTCGGCCGCGCCTCCCCGCGCTGCGGAGGGGATGGGGGGCACCCGGTGCCGGGACGAGCGGGGCTGAGGGCGAGGATGGGGGGCAGCCTCGCCGAGGAGCGGAGGGCGGGCGCTGAGGGACACTCGTCCCGGGCCGAATTGGCAGCAGGTGCGGGCGGGGTTGGTGGGGTCACGGTGCTGTGCCCGTGGGTTGTGCGTGTGTGCGAGGAGGTGGCTCGAGCAAGGATTCCTCCCCATCCGGGGACGCAGCAGGACGCTCCGCACGGACACGCCAGCCGGCTTCCTTGAGCGAAACGATGTAGGCAAAAAGGAAAACCCGGGCTCCGCGGAGGTCAGGAGGGAATCGGGCAGGCGGGACTGCTCGCAACGCCACACGCCAGGATCGTGCCTTTTCAGTACTTCCAAGGACGGGAGGTATAGCTGAATATATTTGGTATCACATCCAATCGTCCCTTCTGGAGCTCGTGGTTCTGTTACAGAGACCTTTTAAATTGTATGACTTTTCCGGACACCAGAATTAATCATTGCTTGTGGATAATGGGTTCTTTCAAGCTGCGCTGAAAACACTCGGTGCTGGCCAACCCATAGGCACATCCTTGAAAAATGCACCGTTTGACACTGTGCACATGTGAAACCCAAATTACAGCCCCGAGTTCCCATTTCAGTTTTGTAATTTGAGTAGGTAAAACCATAGGTAAAACAGGCAAATAAATTATCATCCCTTACTGTTCCCCCACTGGCATCAGTGGCATTCTCCCATGAACTGTGCTCACAAGAGGTAAAGCCCAACAATGGCAAGATAACAAGGATTTTAATGTTATGTTATTTAGAGAGTGTTTATTACTCCAGATATACAGTACATTTAAGGCAGTGGAAAGATTCTTGTTGATTTCACAAATTATTTGTTTTAGTCCCTGTCAGTAACACTTCTACTGGTGTTTGTTTGTTTTTGTTAGCTAATTAAAGTTTTTTAATATCTTAAAAACAAATAAACATTTCTTTCTGGGGTCTGATTTTCTCTTACAAAGGATAAAAAAATTTATGGAGACCTCATTCCAATATAGTTGTCCACAGCAAAGTATATTTTAGCTATGTAGAATGTAATTTACATAGTTTGGCATTTTCAGGATGTGAAATTATGTCTTCTCCAATATTGTCAGCAGGACACAGAATTGAGCACATGCATAAAATTATTAGGTGGAGAGATTCTATAACTACAGTCTTTCTGATTGAAAGAGTCTGGTATAAATAGTAATTTTAAGGCCTGGTTCTGTGATCACAAATGTTTTATTATGGTTTAAATAAACAAATGTATGGTCACATGAATTAGGACTTAAGTCCTTTGTCTCAGCAGAGTCACAGTGGAAAACAGTAATTTAAAGCTTGCTTAAAAAGTTCTATCTCGTTACCGGCCACTTGAGCATTAACTAGTTCCAAAAAAGTTAGGCATAAACTAAGAAAACCCCTGCATTCTGAAGCTTCTTGATGTCCTCTGTTAAGATAGACATAATTTTCCCATATTTCTCACTTGCTTTTCCCTTTGTGTGCAATCACATGCATTGCTTGATAAACACCTTCTCACATGTATCCTCTGCGTGCTCTGCATGAACCGATTTCTTCAAGTTTGCTAAGAGCCTCTGAAGAGGTGCCAGTATTCCATGAAGAACTAACCATAAGGCAGGAGTATGTGCATAAACCTGCATATTTGTGAAAAATTAGATTAGAAGCAGATACTAAGGAAAGACTCGGGTCTTTAAGAATTTGTATTGTTTATGTGGTTGGCTCAGCAGATGGCAAATATGACTCAGTATAAACGTTACATAATTCTTCTTGGGAAAACAAAATCTCAAGACTGTGCTCTAATTGAAAAGATCATCCAGAAAGCTGTTGAAGAACAGTATGGAGAATCAGGATAGAAATATCAATGGAGCAGATGCATGCAGTAGCCAGCAAATTGAGGAAGATTTTATGAATGTAGTGAGGCTCAAAACATACCTCAGTAAACCCATCAGCCTAGTGCCTAACAAAAAACTGTGAAGGCCAACCAGAGGATTTAGTTTCATTAGCAAATAGAGCAGAAAACAGTTATTCTGTCAATGTGAAAAAGGAAAAAGGAATGTAGGCAGCACTCTTTAATGGAAGGATTAAATATGGATAAATTCCAAGGGCTGCTGAAGCAAAGAATTCACAACATGGGTTGGTCTGTTTCCAGAGATGAAATTGATAGTGGACTGTAGTAAAGAAAAAAAAATCAAGACTGAGTTCAATGTAAATGGTCAAACCCATTAGATTATGTAGGCCCCTTTATGTTTTAAATGTTTTATGTTCTTTGGTCCTGGTACTATCAGGACAACACTATGGAGAGTTAAAAATTTTTTGTCTGATAAATATATGAACTAGACATAGAAAGCAGAGACATAGCTTTATAATTTGCAGCAGTTACAAATGAGCAAAATAATTTGTAAAACAGCCAAGAGATCTTTCAAAACATTGTATGCAAATTTTGAACAGTTCTGTTCTGTACCACAGCAGAATTTTGATTCTATGATTTTAGTATTTTTGAAGACATTTTAAGTTATGACCACTGCAGCTGTCAGTGTCTAAGTGGCATCACACTTTCAATCTCGAAATTCCTCTTAACACAACATATGCTTTACCTTCTGTTTTCTTCCATTTTCTAAAATACCAGAGAGAGTAGTTAGCCTACCTAGAAATTCTTTAACTGGTTTGTCATTTGAAAGGACTGGAAGTGACTGTAATAAGCAGGGAGTTTCCTTTACGTTTTTACAGTGCAACTATCACTCGGCTTTGTTCTCATACCAGGGTGACAACTTCTTCATTTCTTCCTCCTGCAATCTCCCAGACATAAAGGCTAATTAATTTGCAGACATAAAGGCTTTCTAACATTCTGTGACTTTCCCCTCTCTATTTTCAAGCAGAAGCATGGAAGGAGTATGAAAAACTGAGTCACAAGTATTGAAAAAAAACCCATCTAAATCTATGATATTAAAAAATAGTTGTGTAGAATAGCAAATATACTAACATCTTATTTCAGGACCATCTATCATCAGTTCACTCATATAAAGATTAAGGAAGGTCTAAGATCCCTATTACAAGTTCTGAGGGATATTTTGCAAAAGTGCTTAAAATGCTGGAATAAACCATCAGTTCTGTTTGATGGTATAAAATAAATTAGCATTAAATAGATCTGATTATTATTCTAATTTTTGTACACCCATGCTAAGTCAGGGACAAAGGCTGCAAAGTGCCCAAGAGGAAGTACTATTTTTCATGCACCTACATGGCAAGAATTTTTCAGTCTTGATATTGCCTTTTACTCTTTATGATATATATATATAGTGTAAAAAAGAAGCTGTGAACTTCAAACAGCCATGACTGTATTTGTGTTTGCACTGCTCATCTAGGAGGCTAAGTCCAAAATGGAGGTCCCAGGAGCACGTCTGAGCTCTTGAGGCCAGGTGTGATTGCCCACCATGTCCTGGTTCTCTGCCAAGGTGAACAAATGCCCATCAGCCTTCCTCTGAAGGCCCTCCTCAGGGATAGGCTCAGAAGGGAGATGGCACAGTGGACATATCTTCAATTTAGATAACTGGGACACACCATAATACTCACATGATGCTTTCTTTAGCTCTCAGCACTGAAATATGCAGAAGGACTTGCATCCTCCCCCACTGTAAAAGAAAATTATAGAAACTGAGGGTACTAAGCCTAACTCGTGAGGGATATAAAAACAACAAGGGTGCTATGGTCTCAAAAGAGTGTGTGGATTCTTGGACTCACGAGGTTAAGTAGAAGCTCAAGTAGCACGTAAAGAAAAAGCCATTTTTGATGACTTACCCGCAACAATCCTGTCTCTGACCATACAATTCTGACTAGATCACATTTTCTCTAAACACTTACTTCCTTTCAGGCATGTTGTAAATTTGCAATGGAAAAGAATATGCCAGGAAATGGTCCCTTAATGATGTTTCACAACAGCAAGATGCTGTCGCAGCATGTGTGCTGACCCCACAACGTCATTCTTATGGGGCTCTGAACACACTAAAGAAGGGAAGGGAATTAAACTATTATTCTGTCATGCAGCCACTAACCTACAGAGTCATCTGAATACACCATGGGAAGTGTGCTGCATTCCACAGAGGGCTGAAATGCCCCACTGCTGCAAAGTCTCAAGTATACACAGACAGCAGGTTGGGTCAGCACTGGAGAGCCAAACCTGCAGGATACGTGATGGGATAGTACTGACAGTAAGGCAAATTCATCTGCCGTGCCATTTCCAGTGCAGTTGCGATTTTGCTCTGATGTCAGATGCAAAGGTTAACTGGTATATCTATACATATCTTTACATGTGT